ATTTTTCGTTCTTCAGTTTCTTTCTTCTTCCTTCTGATTTATTTCTAGATATCTGTCTTCAATATCACTGGTTTCCAGTAGGTAGCATCTAAGCCTCTTGGATCTGCTTTATATAAAGTCTTAATAATGTATTTTTTTTCTTATAGATGTTTAATCACACTTGCTATTTTCATTCTCAGGCCCTGTCAGTATTAGCGATAGTTTTGGTAATGTTTGCTCAGATTCCCCTGGGCCTCTGCATTGTTCTGCCTCCAAGGCTATGGGTGTAGGGGCCTTCTGGATTGGGAGATAATGTCTGCGGCTTAGCCTCAGTTTTGCAACTGCAACCAGTAAAAATCAACTGTTGTTTTTTTGCCATCCCTGCTTTTCTGCTGTCCCTGTTTCTCTGCTTTCTGCCCTGATGACTGGGCACTGCCGCCAGCCGCGTGGAGCTAACAACACTTGCTGACTGGGCTCTTTAGGGAAGTCACTGCACTTTCTCTTCTCCCCCTCCTCCTACAGGGGGCTCCAGCAGCTGCAAGAGGCATCTTCTTTGTTTCTCCCAGTCCGCTGCCCGACACCTGGGGTTCTGACCTGTGGTAGCTCTTATGTGCAGATGCCATGCTCAGACATGCTGGTGTGCAGTTTGGGTGTTTTTTGTTCAGTTTTAATGTTCAGCTCATTGTTGTTTCAAGAGGAGATTTCTAGGGACATCTCACTCTGCCATGTTTAATTCAATCTCTGGCCCTCTGCTCATTTTTTAATTGGATTGTTTGCTTACTTGTTATTGAGTTGTATGAGTTTTTTACATGTTTGGGATATTAGCTCCTTATCGAAGATGTTGTTTGCAAATATCTTCTTCCATTTAGTTGGTTGCTTCTTTGTTTTGTTGATGGCTTCTTTTGCTGTGCAGAAGCTTTTTAGTTTGATATAGTCCCATGCATTTATTTTTCCTTTTACTTCTCTTGCTTTTGAGGTCAAATTTATAAAATCCTCTCTAAATTTAAGGTTCATGTGTTCAGTACTTATGTTCTTTTCTATGAAATTTATTGTTTCAGGCTTATATTTAAGTCTTTGATCTATTTTTAATTAATTTTGGTGTATGGTGACAGATAGCAGTCTAGTTTTACTTTGGCTTTCCAGTTTTCCTAGCACCATTTATTGAAGAGGCTTTCTTTTCTCTAGTGTATATTTTGGTTTCTTTGTCAAAAATTATTTTCCTAAGAATTGGGCTCTCAATTCTGCTCCATTGATATGTGTGTCAGTTTTTTCTGCCAATATCATACTTTTTTGGTTATTGTCACTTTATAGTACCTCTAGCCTTGCTCTTTTCTCTCTAGATTGCTTTCACTATTCGGAGTCTTTTGTGATTCTACGCAAATCTGATGATTTTTTGTTCTATTTCTTTAAAAAGTGCCATTTGGATTTTGATAGAGATTGCATTAAATCTGTATATCGCTTTGGGTAATATGATCATTTTAACTATATAAATATACGTCTTAATTTAATTCTAATTCCTTTATTATTTTATGTCATACTTTCTTCTAAAAATAATATAAAACCAATTAAAGTTAAAGATATCGACACGCTAGACTCATTAAAATTTTAAAGCATATGTACATCAAGTAAAGAAGTAAAAAAAGAAGTGGAAGTGAGGGAAATTAGGCAAATTAAAGCTAAAATTTAGGGAAGAAAAAATCTTATTTGTAAACTACCAGAAGACAAAAAAGGAAAAGCACTGCTAAGTCAGAGTTCTTACTATCTAATTAAAAAAACATACATTTGCAATGACATGGATGGACCTAGATGTTATTATGCTGAGTGAAATAAGTTAGGCAGAGAAAGATAAATACCATATGATTTTACTTATATGTGGAATCTAAGGAACAAAAAGAACAAATTAATCAAAAACGGACTCACAAATATAAAGGACAATTTGGTGATGGACAGAGTAAAAGGAGGTGGGAGACTGGGTGAATGAGGTGAAGGATTAAAGAAGTACAAATTAGTAGCTGATAGATGGACACAGGGATGAGGAGCATGGCATAGGGGATGCAGTTAGCATTAATATATTGGCTAGGTGGAAACCAGAGAAGGAACAACTAAGGGGATCATTTTATAAACTATATAAATGTCTAACCAATGTACTATATACTTGAAACTAATTTTTAAAAATGTTATTGAAAAACAAACAAACAAAAAACTTAGATCAATTCATCAGTTAAATAGGTTGCCAGACATTGAGGACCCTTAAGAACTTATTTCTATGCCTTCTCGTAACACAAGAAGCAGGAAATGTCTATATATAGTGTAATAGAGCTCTCTGTTACTTCCAACTGAAAGTATTTCCAATTGATACACAATCTGCAAACCAGACCAGATGTGATTATTTCAAACACCTTAACAATATAATTGTATTAACCTAAGTAATTCTGTAAGTTAGACCTTCAGAGGGGGAAAAAAATCAATCTGAAAATAAATAATGTACAAGCAAAACAAGACAAAAATAAATAAATAAAACAAGGCAAACAACAACAACAAAAAAAAAAAACACCTTCCCTTGTTTATAGAAACTGGGCCTTGGCACTGCCCTCATATTCAGCGAATTTCAGGTCTGAAGGAGAAAAGGAAAAATGACTAAAGATCTGGATCCAAAAGACCCAGTCTACTCTAGAGTTCTGGTTGACTATGGACAAATGAATTTGGAGGTTAAAGTCTAGCCAGCTATTCGAAAATTGGCTAAAATGTAGATCACATATCCAGTATCAGCACTAAAGACAAAAAAAAAGCAGATATTTGAAGTCGCAATTCTCTGAATCAGATTTTACATGTAACAAAAGGCCATGAAAACCAAATTATTTTTATTATCTTCAATGATATCCTGTTTTACTCTCGTAATTTTAGAGAGTTTCATTCAGGAAATGAAACGTTAATTTTTAATAGTTTAAGTTCTGGATTTTACTTTTATGTTTTATCATTTAAATTCTTAATCCAAATATGGTGATTATTTTAAACTTATGGAAAATGATTAAAATGAGGCTAAGCAGAAAGTTGCTGGATCCAATTGCTAATTATATATTCTCTTAGATTTTAAAGATACTAATATATACTTGATCCATGCTTGACAGAATAAGAGAAAGTCCAAACCTAGTAAAAATAATAAATTCAAAGAGAAATATAAATGCAAAATAATGGGATCAGAAGTAATAGCAATATTATCTTTGCTGTGCTAATACAGAGATTTTTATTTTAAATAAACAGAAATTAGGGAAAAACTATACCAAATCTGTGGCAACATATCCATGTCTGAATCAGCAGTTCATATGCCTGATTATTTCTGAGATGGAAACAGATGACAGGTTCATAAGAGGGCCTCACACAGGGCAAGCAAGGAAGAAAAGTCCACTAGGCTTGCCTGTGCATGTCTCAGAGCAGGCTATTATCCATGTTTAAAAACATATAGTGAAGGTTATAGGATACTTAGTCAACCAATTTGTATTTCATGAAAGTACAGACATCAACCATTGAAAATATCTATTGGCCTTCTAGTTTGGTAATCTCCTAGGCAAAACTGCCACTCAAATGGTCTGTTTTCTAAAGAACTGTGAAGTTCTTAGTCATCTTACATTCTTAATTCTTCTGTCCTTTTTACATTGCTAGAAGGCAATGTGACTCTAAGAAGTTTAATGTTTCTAACCTCTAGGTCACATCTTTTCTTCCTACCATCCAATTCCAGGCAATCATTAACTATTTTTCTCCCTTCTTGGCATTTATGCCATATTTGACCTGTGAATATGTTACATGTAAAATAGAGCCTCTACCAACACACACACACACAAAAAGCCATCCAGGAAGCTTATGTAGTCATAATTCAGTTTAAAATTAGATAGTAAGCCTAAATAGCTCTTAAACAGGAAATTCATGTCTAAGAGTCAGTACTTGTTGACATTTATTTTATATTTACTTCTGAGTTATCTAATTTTGACAATTGATTAGAAATAGCAAATGACACAGTCTGATATTTTGAAGAAATATACTAAAACAGAACTGGCAAAACACACATGCCTGATGCTGAAAGGGGCAAAGACTGGTACAGATCTGTGTCCACACACTTCACACCAGCAATTCTATGGCGCAAACTACCAGTTGTTACAGATATAGGCAGTAATATCATAAACTCTACAAACTGGAGAGGATCCTAGAAATCTAGTCACATCTCTTTACCATTTAGAGTCTTATGAATTTCTCCTTCAACAATATCTCACAGTGAGGATTTTGTCACTGAATGAACACAAGAGCTACCTCATTGCCTCATAAGGAAGCTTGTTCCATTTTGTAAAACATTTTTTAGAAAGCTTGTTCTTAAAAAATCAAAAACTGCTTACCTGTAACTTCAATTTATTGATTCCAACTCATTTACTCAACCAGCATTTAAAGAGTAACTATTCTATGTAGTAGACAGTATTTTCACAAACACATCTGGCCTTATCCATCTACAAAAATATATCTATGAATGTGAATAAAAATAAAACACTAATTGCCTTTCCTTTGTCACTGTCTCAATTTCTTCATCCTTAAGTCTCAGTACTACTTACCTGAATCAAACCTCCTAAGAAGGAAACAGCTGCAGCGATACCAATCCTTTGCATCTCAAAGTCAGATAAACCCAGCACGCTTGTGTTACTCTGTGTGGTGAGGTTCTGGCTACTTGCAAGGACAAGACGTTCCACTGCGTTGGCTGATATTAGGGATGTCAAGGCAAAAGTGCCTAAAAGGAGTGGAAAATCTCCTATTAGTAAAAGACTCAATAAAAATTGTTGGAGTCCACCATTAAAGTAGAATCCATGCAGATTTTTAGAAAAAAATCTCCTCTGTACCCCCACTCCTCTTCCCTTCTCTTCACTTTGTGGAATAAACAGAAACTTACCTATATAGACACATAGTCCTTCAACCAGCTGCACATATCTACTTGCTATTCCCTCCCAGGCCATACATTTTCCCACCTCTGCAGACCTGCATAGAGAATGTTCTCAGGGCAGGGATTAAGATCATGGACTGGATATGAATCCAGCTCTTCTCTTTATCACTAATGTGACCTAAAGCATATTACCCTGAGTCTAAATTGCCTCATCCATTAAATAGGAGTCATATATACCTATATTTCAAAGTTTTGAACAATATAAATAAGATGATAAATATGAAGACCTCAGTGGGCTCAGTGGCGAAATATGAGTATCTCTTTGCCTAAATCTGGGGCTCTGTGCTTGATATGCTTGCTCTTCTATTATAAATCTACCTGTGCAAACCCTCTTGTCTTTCAAGGTCTGGCTCCAATCCCATATTCAACAAAGATCCATCCCAGATCCTGCAAGCCAGGTTTAATCTTTCTATTCTCTGTGTTTTCATAGCAGAGTAGATCTTTATTATAGTATAACAACATGCTGTCGCCATAAAATAATTAAATATAACATTTCTGTCTACTGTAATTAGATAAGTTTTGATGTATTTCCCAAGAATTGTCCTGGCCACACACAAATATGGAACCATTTTCAGTGTGTTCTCTTCCTTCCAGGAGTTCTGATGCCTGTCATCTTGGCATAGCATGTCTGAGAATGCAGCCACATGAACAGAAAAATGCAGATTCTTACAGGGAGGGCTCACTAGATTTGTGTTAAAGAAACAAACTGTGGTATTGTGCAAACATTTCTTCTGGTTCAAAGACCTTACTTTGCTCTTGGTCATTTATGAAAAAGGGCCTGTGGCAGGATGTAGATATCCCAACACAAAGCATGCCACAGCATAGAGCAAGAGAAACATGAATCAAACAGAAATAGTTTTCAATAGAATCTCAATACAGACAAACCTAACCTTAAATCCAAATGCTGATACCTCAATCTCTTTATAAGTATTCTTCACCAATGGGGTTGTTATGAAGTATAAATAAAATAATGTAATACAGCATATATCATAGTATATGGCATGTAGATAGCACCAAAAAAAAGATAATTGTTATTTAAACTAAGATCAGTTTAATTAAGAATTAAACTGACCATGCTCTGTCATGGTCTGTTATTCTACATTCTTTGCTGTTCCATTGAGTTGATTGGACATAAATGCGTATAGCAAATTGAATACAGTTCTCTTAGGGAGCTAAGTCAGTCTCAATAAATCATCAATAAATATTAATCATCATATTCACTGTCCTCATCATAAAGTATGAAATTAAGAGCACATCAAGGAACAAATATATCTAATGACTGGAGACAAGATTCTGGCACCCAGGATGGACACCACCAAGTAGAGAATATTTGTCATAGAATCTGCTCTTGATAAGACATAATTTTTTCAGGATATGTTACAACAGAATTCCTCAAAGTCTGATACTCTTGAGAGTCAAAATAAAAATGTACTTTTTATTTTAAATCTCATAGAACATAGAACAAACTGATTTTACAAAAGCCACTAAACAAATGACTATAAAATTAAAGATGATATTCTGGAATTAATTTTTGAGTTTAGGCCTACCTTTCCCTGGATTTAGAGAAAGATAGGAGGGAACTGAATAGTAAGAAAGGGCAGTTTAAAATTTTTCTTGTCTACGGCCATGCCACCCTAAACAAGCCCGATTCCATCTGATCTCGGAAGCTAAACAGGGTCGGGCCTGGTTAGTACTTGGATGGGAGACCACCTAGGAAGAGCAGGTGCTATAGGCATAAAAATTTTTTTAAAAAAAATAAGGAATTGTAAGCTGACAGGTCCTTGCAATCTGTGAGGTCAACCAAGGGTTGCCTTGTCTAAAAAAATAAATAAAATAATAAAATAATAAAAAAATAAAATGTTTTCTTGAGGAAAGTAAAGTGAACCTCATCTGCATGTGCGTCACATCCCAAAAACATCTCCAAAGAGAGGACTTGCCAGCAATGTACGCGGAAATAACCATCTGTGTCAACATAGATATGGGAGTACTGCCTCTTTAGAAGAATGATGCTTTGCTGCTTCCTACACAGTTCAGAACAATCAAGAATATTGGAGCTGTGGGGGACTATGTAAGGATATTCTGTATGACATTCTACCTTCTCTGTCTTATAGGTCTCACCCTTGTCTTTACTTCCTCCCTACTACTTCTCTGCTCTTTCCTCACTTTCTCAACTTTTTACCCTGGTTGGGCTTTAAGCCTATGAGTGGGAACATTAAATACCACTAAACCTATATAGTAGTTTAACAGTACTGTGGGTAGCAGGACCTAATAGAGAAATAATACAGGCCTCAGATTTGGACAGGCCCAAGTTCAAATCCCAGTTCAGCTGCATAGTAGCTTGTGATTTTGGTAAAGTTACCTAACTTCTCTCAGCTTCCTTATTTGTAAGATGATAATAAAATTTTATAGTAATAAAAGTTGAGTAGAGATTCAATGATATTCTTATATCGAAAAAAAATCTAGCACAAGTCCTACCACATTGTAGACCTTCAGTAAATAAATGTTTCTTACTTTCTTTTCTTCTGAAACATTCCCAGTACAGTCTCCCTAATGTTTTTTCTAAATGCTGAATTGACTTTGCTCTTTATTTTTTTTTCTAATTTAGAAGATGAGTATATCCCATAAATGGTCGCATGTGAGTTACCTTAGACAATTCTGTTTCTACTGAATTCATACTCAGGTTTCTGTACTTTTATGTTTTTTTCCAAAACATGTTCTTCATAAGTCACATAAAGTAATGAATAATTTGTTCCTTTTTAAGGTGTATATATTATAACTAAAATAAGAAAGTTCAACTTTTTGAGCAAAAGAGCCCATCTGGTATCTTTCACTCTGGCTTTTGGATTATTTCCTTTTAAAGAAAGCTCTAACATAAATTATTATTACACTTAGCAATTCGTTATTGTATTTTGGCTAGTTAAGTTGCAAGTAAAATCCCAGATAGAGTGATTTTTCCTGATGAAAGCAATGTCAGCCTCTTAATAATAATGTAGAAGTAGGAATTCCCATGTACATATATACACCAAAATAAAATACAATAAAATGATTTTAAATAAAAATATGTTCTCTTATTAAATGTCTGCAGAAACTTTTTTGAGAGATTCAATTGGTCCTATGTTTAAGATCATGGGAAGGTCAAAAAAATAATTAGTTTGTGGGGGTCGGCAGAAAAAATGACATAGATGACAGAGGCTTTGTTTATCCCTGTTGTGACCACTTCAAAGTTGGGACAGAAACACATAGAAGACAACAAGCGAAGTCTCCTGGGATCTAGATGAACAGAAGCACTACAACTAGGAAGAGAAATAATTAATCAATCTGCAATGGTAGAAGGTAGGAGAAGGCGAAGATGTGAGGCTGCTCCATCCAGAGCTGCTGAGTGGGACAGAGGCTATGGAAGCAGCAGCCAGCAGCTGCAGATGCCTCTTAAAGGGGCAATGTCCACAACCAGGCTTTCGCACTGATGGACCTGCTCCTCTGAGCACCAGTGCCTGGTCAGCTACACAGAGGACACCAAGGACTTAAAGGAGGACCCTGAGTTGTAGAGTGATGGTCAGAGGTGAGGCTCTCTCCTAGGCAGAAGTGCTAGCAGGATCCATCTGTTCCTCTGTTGAGCCCTCCCACTCCCAGTGTGCAGAGGCAATGACACCATAGCTGAGACTCATCAAACTGAATAACAGAGGTCTTTCTGCCCAGAGGAGTCCCTGAAACTCCACCTCCCAAACTCACAGTTCCACCCAAGCCACATCCAGTTGTGTCTTCAGCGAGTCCAGTGCTCCTTGCTGAGCAGAGCCAAGACTCACTGATGGCAGCTACTTCCGTTTCTGGTGTGGCCTCTTGAAGCAACTATAAGCACGGCATTTGTGGATTACTTGCTGAATCTTAACAGGTGGCCCCAGAAGGGCACCGGCTGGAGCTAAATTTGACCTTCAGTTGAATCCCTCTCAGGACTGTGCCACTGGATATCTACCACACAAAGCCACACTAATAAGACTGGGAAACATAAGAGCTTTGCTTAGTACATAAAAACAGACACAGAAAGGCAGCCAAAATGTGAAGACAAAGAGGCAGAAACCACATGAGAGAAAAGAACAGAGATCCAGGAATAATGGTATCAAGCAATCTAACAGATGCAGAGTTCAAAACACAGGTTCTAAAGATGCTCAATGAACTTAAGGGAAGTGTAGATGAACTCAGTGAGAATTTTAACAAAAAGATAAAAAACAAAAATGGAAATGGAAATTTAAAAAGGGAACCAATTGGAAATGAAGAACACATTGTCGGAGATCAAGAGTATACTAGAGGGAATCAAAAAGTGGATAAAGAAGAGGATCGAATCACTGATATAGAGGATGAGGAAGCCAAGAACACTCAATCAGATTGGCGAGAAAAAGAAGCCGAGACTATAATAATAATTTAAGAAGCCTATGGGACACTATTAAATGTAAAAATATCTATGTCATAGGGATCTTACTGAAAACAAGAAGGTGAAGAGCTATTTGAAAAACTAATGATGGAAAACTTTCCTAACCTGGTGAAGGAAATAGACATGCAACTTCAGGAAGCTCAGAGAGTCCCAAAAAAGATGAACCAAAAGAGGCCTGCATCAAAACACATTATAATTAAAATACCAAAAGTTAAATACAAAGAGAAAATCTTAAAAGCAGCAAGAGAAAAACAATTAGTTAGCTATCAGAAAGCTCCCATAAGACTAGCAGCTGATTTCTCAAAAGAAATTATGTAAGACTCAACATGATGAAAACCCAGGATCTACAACCAAGAATTCTTTATTCATCAGAGCTATCATTTTGAGTCAAAGGACAGATAAAGAGCTTCCCAGACAAAAATAAGCTAGAGGAATTCATCACCACCAAGCCACTATTACAGGAAATGTTGGAGAGATTTCTTTAAGAAGAAAAAACATGTATTTAAAACTGGAATAAAGAATGGTAATAACTACATTCCTATCAACAAATACCTCAAATGGAAAAGAATTAAGTGCTCCAACTAAAAGACAGAGTGGCTGAATGGATAAGAAAACGAGACCCCTATATATGCTGCCTACAAGTGACTCACTTCAGATGAAAAGACACACGCAGACTGAAAGGAAGGGGACGGAAAAAGATATTGCCTTGATGGACCTAGAGGATATTGTTCTAAATGAAGTAAGTCAGTTAGAAAAAGAAAAATGCCACATGATTTCACATACATGTGGAATCTAAAGAACAAAATAACAACAACAACAACAACAACAACAAAAGCCATAACAAACTCATACATAGAGAGAATATTTTGAGGGCTACATATGGGAGGGGGTTGAGGGGGTTGAGGGGGGACAGAAAAAAGGGCAAAGGAATTAAAAACTTCAAATGGATAGTTACAAAATAGACACAGAGATATAAAGTGTAGCATAAGGAATATAGTCAATAATGTTGTAACAAATATGTAAAAGGGAAGAGAGGTACTAGATTTAGTGGGGTGATCACTTTGTGAGTCATATAGATCTCTAATCACTATGCTGTACAACTGAAATAAATATATTATTGTATGCCAACTATAATTGAAAAAACTCATTAAGTTTTACAATGTAAATACAAGCAACTAATTGTCTATTATATTTCAATAATGCCAAAAATAATTAGTTTGTATATTTCCCCTTATATATACTAATATTATTATTCATAATAATATTTGTTAAATAAAAAAAACTTACTTAAATGGATAATTACTTTACCATGAGGCAAAAGGATAATTGTTTCTAAAGGATTCTAAATATGTTGTGATAAAAAAAGAAATGAGAAGGACCAGCTGACTCTATCCTTTAGAAATAAAGGCAGAAATTAAATACCTTAAGCATTGATTGTGTGATAACATGACTATAGTTAAGTCTGTAAATTATATGTTTTTTGAGATGTATATTATTTACCCAATAAACTACATGGTTTCTATAGCTATTAGTAATATTTGTTAAATACAGAATCTTATATAAATGACAATTTCAAAACCATGCCAACAGTAAAGTATTTATAGTAATTCTTTAGGAAATAAAGTGGATTGTATAAATGTACATTTAGGTATGTACAAAGTTGAGTGGTTTTGAATTCTTAAAGAAATTATGAAAGGTTTTTTATTTGCCTTTTTCCATCCTTTGTTTAGAGAGCAGGATAATTTGCAGATAATAGACTTTAGGAACTTTTATTATTGTACTTTTCTAATTTTATATCAGCACAAAGGAAAATCTATTCTTGAGCAACTGGTTGTAAAGCAAAGTTTGGGCTTAGTTTTGAGGACAACTGGGTTTTAATCCATGCACCCATAGTTTTATCCATGCTCTTACAGAAAACTTTCTGAATTTGGGGTTCTTCTTTTCATTGTAAATATGCAGATAATAATGTCTATTTTAAAATATTGTTTTGTGACAAAATAAGATAACTTATGTTATCTTACAAACTTTGCTTTACAACCAGTTGCTCAAGAATAGATTTTCCTTTGTGCTGATATAAAATTAGAAAAGTACAATAATAAAAGTTCCTAAAGTCTATTATTTGCAAATTATCCTGCTCTCTAAACAATACACACACACACACACACATATATACATATATATATGTGTGTGTATATATATATATATATATATATATATATATATATATATATATATATATATATATATATATATATATATATATATATATATATATATATATATATATATATATATATATATATATATATATATATATATATATATATATATATATATATATATATATATATATATATATATATATATATATATATATATATATATATATATATATATATATATATATATATATATATATATATATATATGAGATGGACCAAATGATTAGAATCAGAGAGAGATTTGAAGATGCTACTCTGCTAGTTTTGAAGTGGAAGAAGGTACCATGAGCCCAGAAATGCAGGAAGCCTCTAGAAGCTGGAAAACTCAAGAAGGAACCCAGCCTTGTGAATATGTTCTGCTATATTAAGACTCATTTTAAACTTCTTACCTATGAAACAGTTAAATAGTAATTATTTATCTTGTTTTAAGCCACTAAACTTTTGTAATTTGTTACAACAGAAAAAGGAAAGTAACACAATCAATAACACAAACTGACCACTGAAGAAATAGACACAAATGGTAGTATTTACTTAAAGGCAGAGATCTTACAAAACAAAAAATAAACAGAAATACTTCTATGGATATTTCTAATTACAAGTATTTGTATTATTATTACCTTAATATTTAATATTAAGGTATCATTTTATAATAATAATAGCTTTTATTACATATTATTTTGTAGCAAGTACTAAATCAGACACTGTACATCAATCATTTCAATTCACAGTACAATCATATAATTTTTTTGAATTTTAATATCAAGAAAGAAGCAAGTAGACCTTTAAAACTGCTCAAAGTCATGCAGATAATAAACAACAAATGAGAGATACATCCAGGACTAACTCCAAAATTCATGTTTTTAACCATCTTGCTCTATTATGAGGCTACCGTACTTGTGATAGTTCATTTTGTATTTGGTAATGGAGAGCTAAGCAAGGTAAGAGATATATTAAAAAGAACATTATAAAATCTAGCTTCAAAGAAACCTAAAAGATCATTTAGTCTAAATATTAATTACAAGAAAAATATTTTTCAATATATGTCACTAAATTTTACATAGTCTTTTCTTTACCCCTCAAATTACTCACTTTCTCCATTTCACTATAAATTTAGAACATTTGTCCTTTTATGATCTTTTAACAACTAAAAATGCAAAGTCTTTAACAATAATATGTATTTATTATTGATACAGCAATAAATCACAATATGGATTGAGTATCTGAGGAACAGAAAGTTAAATGTCTTGCCCTAGTATTGATGCTTTCATCAATGTTAGATGTTTTCAGTTATAAAGTTAGAGATGTAATCAATAACTAATAATCACTTCTGAGGTCCCTTTCATTAGTAAATCATTAGTAACATGAGAAGTATAAACAGAAACAGAAATTATTACCTGTGGCAACATGACGTCCCATTCCAAATATGGCATAAATGATGGCAGGAAACAGAGACCCATATAAACCAAACACTGGGTGCACAGATGAAAGAATGGCAAAAGCCAACCCTGTGAAGAAGACTGATGTAATTAAGACCATTTTATAACCCCAAGGTATAGTCTATTACAAAGTAGAATGGATATTGGTTTATTTAATGACAAAAAAAAAAAAAAACAGAATTTAATTATTCTACTTGCTAATGACAGAGTAGCATTATTGTCCTAAATAACAGAAAATTTACAAGTTTAATTAATTTTTAAATAAACTCTAGTTATACATTAAATTGTTGAAACAGTGCGAGATATTTTGGCTATACTTAAAATACATGAAATGTCTACCAATGAATAGTCCTTTCTTTATTTTTAAAAACCCACCTGTGTTGCTTGTTTACTGACTATGTACACATAAAAGTCTGGTGAAATAAATAAAAAGTGAGTATAGAAGAATCAGTGGCAGAGACTGCTCTAGGATTTTATACAGGCAGATGAAAGGCAGCAATCTGGTTGTTGGGAAGGATGCTGTTAAGGACAGGTTAACTTTTGAATGCTAAGTATTCCCCCATCCCCACCAAAAAGCACTTCCTGTCATTTATAGAATAAGCAACTTTGAAAAAAGTATTGTAGTTATTGTATTGGTCATATGGAAAGCTTTTAAAATAACTTTTCTCATCCATTTTCAGATGAGTTATCTGATAAAAATTATCTATCAAGAGACAGAATATCAAATGTTTTCAAGTAAAATGTGACCCACATTTCAGAAGATCACCCAGACCCACTAAATCAATGATAGGAGAAAAAGATCATGCAGCATATTTAACAAAAGCATCTTAGATTAATCATACGGACACTAAATTTTGATAAATGTGATAAATACCAACAGGAGAGGAGTTGGGCAGAGGTAGACCTATTTGGCTACTTGCAAAAGGCACATGGAAATACAAAGCTAGAAGCAGCCAGATGACCTCCTCTTGCTTTGTGAATACTTACCTCCTATTTATCTGTTTGCATTATGACAATAATACTTCCCTTTCTCTTTCTTTCATCCCCACCTCCAAAAGCTATAACAAAATTAGTTCAAAAATTGAATTTCTGTGGATCACATATTGCTATAAATTAAAGTGGGAATAATTATATAAACATATTTAACCAAAATCTATAAAAGATCTCTAGACCTATGTATGCAAAACATCACTTCAGTAAATTCTATAAGAATAACCTCAAAGACCAGAAATCAACCAGACACTTTCTTTATATTATTTGATACTGATACTGAGCTTTCAGTTTAAACAACAGTGTTGTTCACTCTCAGTGCAATCTATTTCTCTGCTAATATGGCAATGAACAATAGCCAAAATAGAAGAGGAATAAACTAATTCAGATGTACAGTGCTTTATAAATTCATTTACCCTTTCCACAAATAAAAACGACCAGCCCCAAGCTATTCACCCACACACATCTTCAAAAATGAGAGAGAGCTTGATAAAGTTTTCTTTTTCTGCTTCATTTACTATTCTGAGTCATAATGTAAGCTATATACATATTATCACACGCACATTCGCACAATCTAAAATATATTAAATCTTCTAAAATAATGAAGATATTAACTAGTTACAGTTACTTATATGTTGGAATTATCTATACTCTTCTCTATGTTTAGTAAAACAGCATTCAATTCATGAACAGAATTACAACTCTCTAACACTATTAATTTGGGGGAAAATTGCTGTAAATGCCGATAGATATTTGTATTACTTAATCTAAATATCTAAAAACAATACTTACTCTTATTTAAGTTAGATTAGGTAATACAAATATTTAACAGTATTTACAGAATTTCCCTCCCCCACCACCATTTAATAGAGTTAGAGAGTTGTAATTCTGCTTTTGTTAAACAAATGTCCTGTTTTATTAAATATAGAGAAAAAAGTACCAACAAATGGGTATTAGTGTGTGTGGGGTGAGAGAGAGAGATCGAGAGAGAGAGAGAGAGAGAGAGATTGGAGAAGGGAACAAATGCTTGAGATGTTTAGATGACTAATTATTTTTAAAGATCAAAAATCATGTATTAGTAATGCAAGTCTGAAGTCTGCTATATCCACACACACAAAAAAGGATCTCTAGAAAACTTTGAAAGATGCCATTAAAAAAAACAAAAAACAAAAAAAACAACAAAAAAAAACGTTTTGCAGGTGTAGTAATGGTTAATAAATTGGAGGAATAAAAGAGACTCTATTTTCCCAAATCAATATCATCAGTGTTTTCAGGGCCTGTGAACACTGCCAAACTTTCAAATGTCTCTAAGTATAAAGTTGGACATTAACCACCAGCACCCCTTGCCCCTCCAACCCAGACTGCAGCGAGAATAGCTTCCCTAGATAGATCGCCTGACCCCTGAACAAGGACCATGAAAGTAGATAGGCAGCTCAGTGTCTGCCTCTGCTCCTACTATGATATCTTTGTTGAATTAGCTAGAGAATGACAAAGTAGCTACTGGTAAGAAAGAGAAATGTTTATCACAGAGAAGATGATGCTTTATATTTTAAGATACCAACATTCATTTCACTTTCAGGACAGTTTTATCTAAATTTACATAAGAACAATTATTCAGAATATCAAGGAAAACTGGAACTGCAAAAGATTGTGTCTAGAAATTGAGTTATATATCCAAAGTTGGGAATTGTGCTAAATTACATATAGAGAGCCACTCTATTGAAGACTTCATAATATGTCAGCTTAGTGACTTCACCTCTTAATTATGAGGTCAGGCAGATAGGACCTACAGGCAGTGGTTTTACTCCTATCAGGTGTGACTACAAGAATAATAATATTTTATAGACTGTAGTCTTTGGTTATGGAGCTTCAATTACTACCCAGAAAACTACAACTAACACAACTCAATGGAACAAGTAAGTATTCCAATAGAATTCACTGGCCCAGATGTCAATCCTTTTTGTTTTAATTTTTATTTTTCAATTAGAGTTGACATTCATTATTATTTTATATTAGATTCAGATGTAGAGCGTAGTAGTTAGACATTTATGTAATTTACGAAGGTACCACTCAGCATAGTGCCCACCTGGCACTATATATAGTTATTACTATATTATTGATTATATTCCCTAAGCTGTTCTTCACATCTCTATGAATACTTTGTAACTATCAATTTGTACTTCTTAATCCATTTACCTTTTTCAGTCAGCCTGCCAACCACCCTCCAATCTGGCAATCACCAGTTTGTTCTGTATGTGTGTATGATTCTGTTTTCATTTTTATTCATTTATTTTGTCCATTGATTTCACATATAAGTAAAACCATATGATATTTACCTTTCTCTGTCTGACTATTTCAGTTAGCATAATAGCCTCTAGGTCCATCCATGTCATTGCAAATGGTAAGATTTCATTTTGGGGGGCTGCATAATATTCCATTATATATATGTACCGTTACTTCTTTATCCAATCTTCTTGATGAGCACTTAGGTTGCTTTTGTATCTTGGCTATTATAAATAGTGCTGCAGTGAACATAGAGGTGCATATATCTTTTCAAATTAGTGTTTTGGTTTTCTTCAGATAAATACCAAGAAGTACATTTGCTGGGTCATAAGGTAGTTCTATTTTAAATTTTTTGAGGAACCTCCAAACTGTTTTCCATAATGGCTGTACCAATTTGCAATCCCACCAACAGTGCACAAGGGTTCCCTTTTCTCCACATCCTCCTCAACACTTATTGATCTTTGATTTATTGATGAGGTCATTTTGACAACTGTAAGGATATCTCATTGTGGTTTTAATTTGCATTTCTCTGATGATTAGTGCCTTTGAGCACGTTTTCATATGTCTATTGGCCATCTGTATGTCCTCTTTGGAGAAATGTCTACTCAGGTCTTCTGCCCATTTTACAATTGGATTGTTTATTTATCTATTATTTATTTGTTTGTTTGTTTGTTTGTTTGTTTTGGTGTTGAATGATATGAGTGCTTTGTAAAATTTGGATATTAACCTCTTACTAGATGTATCACAGGCAAATATCTTCTTCCGTTCAATATGCTGTCTTTTCATTTTGCTGATGATTTTATTTGCTGTGCAAACTTTTTAGTTTGATGTAGTCCCATTTGTTTATTTTTTTCTTTTGTGTCTCCTACCAAAGGAGATATATCAGAAAAAAAAAATTACCAAGAGCAATGTCAGAGAGTTTACTGCCTATATTTGCTCAGAGGATTTTAATGTTTTTAGGTCTTACATTTAAGCTTTTAATCCATTTTGAGTTTATTCTCATATATGGTATAAGAAGGTGATCCAGTTTCATTTTTTTGCATGAATCTGTCTAGTTTTCTCAACATCAATTATTGAAGAGACTGTCTTATCACATTTTATATTCTTGCCTCCTTTGTCATGACCATGTAAGTGTGGATTTATTTCTGGACTTTCTATTCTGTTCCATTGATCTATATATCTGTTTTTAAGCCAGTACCATGCTATTTTAATTACTATGGCCTTGTAGTATAGTTTGATATCAGGTATTATGATACCTCCAAATTTGTTCTTTCACAAGATTGGTGTGGCTATTCAGGATCTTTTATGGTTTTATATAAATTTTAGGACTATTTATTCTACTTCTGTGAAAAATGTCATTGGTATTTTCATAAGGATTACACTGACTCTATAAATTGCTTTGACTAGCATGGACATATTAACAATGTTAATTCTTCCTACCCATAAGCATGGTATATGCTTCTATTTATTTGTATCTTCTTCAATTTTTTTAATGATATAATTTTCTGAATAAGGTCTTTAACCTCCATAGTTAAATTTATTCCTAAGCATTTTATTGTTTTTAATACAATTGTAAGTGGTACTGTTTCCTTAATTTCTTTTTCTAATAACTTATTATTGGTTTATGAAAATGCAACCAATTTCTGAATATTAATTTTGTATCCTTCTACTTTAATTTTTTTATCAGTTCTAACACTTTTGGTGAAGTCCTTAAGTTTCTCTCTATATAGTATCTTGTCATCTGAAAAAAATGACAGTTTTACTTTTTTCTTTCCAATTTAGATGCTTTTTATTTC